AGAATCTTTCTTCTCTTAAACCTTGACTTTCATTTCTACTAGTTAGAACCCGTTTTATTTGCCGTTGTTTATTTGGATCCGATTTACTGATTTGAATGGAATCGTTTAAGTTAATCGAATAATTATCTAGTTCAGCTAGTTTTGTTTTATTCTTTTGATTAAATGCTTGTTCGATAATCGCTGATTCAATATCAGAATATTTTGTCCATTCTTCATTTCCATTTGTTGACCATGGATCAGAATTTGATTTCCAATACCATTGAGCTCGTGGTTGATCAGCTCCTATCGCCTGACTTACCATTTATTAGGCTATTTGGAACTGATGCGTCCTGGAAACGTCCTCTAGAAAAGACACGGGACAAATAGCAGGATATTCTGTAATTGAAGAAACACTTGTTCAGCTTTTTAAGATCAACTCTGATTATGTTTACATTCTATTCATTAGTGAAACTGACACTTGTTTTTGCAGTTTAGTACATAGTAAAAGTGTAACGAAATACATCTGGAACAGAAAACAAAACGTTTCAGCCAAGGCATCTTTTCTATGATTTAGATAGTATCCAGGCCGATGATTCCGAAGACAAGTTCCTGAAAGATCCGACGCCGGAATTCGATGAAATCTGGCACAATCTTACCAGAAGCATGCCGTATTATGTCGGAATCTGGACCGGTGTTGTTTGCAAAGTTCTTAATGAGGCACGCCTTCTTATGCAACAAGTAGAGGCATCAAATGACCGCTTTAGTTTCAAGGTTAGCGGTCAAATTTTCGTTTTTAATCTTCTTATTTGGAGGCTCCTGAATCTGTTTGAGAGAGATCCTTCCAATAATGAACGAATAGGACAAATTGATATGTGATCATTCACCCCGAACAGTATCAACAACGTTGACGTACTCATATGACATGGACAAATATTAATTGCAATCAACTGCGTATTTTTCTTAATTTTTCTAATTTAATCTAACAGCGACACAAACAGCAGCGTCATGATGAACGCAGTTAGAAAATATCGACTTTGTATCAGAAAAATGTCTTAGTGCTGTATGGAATTGAAACATGAAATACCTTTTACTCACTATAATCGAATGAATATTTTATTCTTTTAAACGGACATTAGTCAGGCACCTTAACTCACTCTGTTTCTTATTCTGATGAAAGTGAAACAAAAGCAAAAATGAAAAAGTTTTCTTTTCACTCAGTTTTCTTTTCACTTTTTTTTTTGTTTTTTATTTTCTTCCTTCTTTCGTCCCTTTTTTAGGCAAAATGTCAAGGGGGAAGCAGCTGAATTTAGTCCGTTAAATTCAAGTAAATTCGAAATTCACCTGAATTCACTAAAATTCACGTAAATTCATCCAAATTCACGCAAATTCATTCGAATTCACCTAAATTCCTAAAAAAGTCAAGGAAACTTTACTTAAATTGAACAGGAGTCAGAGAGAGAGATGCTAGTTAAGCTCCTAAATCTACCATGATAACGGTGTGGGTGTTAAACACCCAATACTGTGAAGAACATTCGTGTAGCAGAGTTTAGATTCTCTTTCCTTTCTACTATCGACGCCACGAATAACTCCAAAACGATAAAAGATAGAGACTTGTAATTTTCAACAATCGAAAGAAGACAATTTAGCCTATGTTTTCGTAAGCGAAACCCTTTTGCGAAGCCGTTAGAAAGACCGGTTATCTAGGATATCTTTGGAAAACCACTTCGGATTTCCGGAAAATGAGATAAAAATCTATCAGTTTGCTTTTATAGATAGATAGTCCAAAATGTCCTCTCAAAAATGGGAACTAAGCTAACTCTTAATTTTTCCTAGTTCACGCGTGGCATCGGATTTCCTGAGAGCCCTAGGATCAATATTTCTTTAGGTATGGTAATTCCAGAGCTGGGCGAATTTCCGTTAAATAGAAATTTTCACTTGGTTTAGTATTCGGTTTGGCAGTTAGAATTGTAGGATACAAAGTAGAATAGAAGAACATTTTAAGGCATATTAGTAGTGCATAATTTGCATTACTTCATTATATTATGAATTAAGTTGTTGGATAGAAATGATTAGAATAGTAAAAGACCAGAATAGTAGAATAGAGTTTTCCACGGGCTACAGCCTAAATCACCAGAAGTACAATTAGCTGTTATATATCAAATTAAAGCTTATTTTAAATGGACCTCAATGCCATAGTGTTTTGTGATAAAGAAAGTAAAGGCTCTTTTTAGAAGGTATTATTTTGAAACGGTCTGTGGAAAATCCGTTCGGACTTGAAAAAATAGCAATGTATTTGTTTTTTCAGATAGATAAATAGTGTTCAGTGTCGTCTAAAACTGGAATTTTTGGAATTTTTTTCATTGCTAATGCAAATTTTGAAACACTGAACGGATTTTTCACGCACCTTTTTGAACTCCTATCTTTTGAAAAGAATTTTTACTTTTTTTATCACAAAAGGCTATGCCATTGAGGTCCGATTAAAGTAAGCTTTAATTTGACATATAAGAAATATGTAGCTTTTCAGGGTGAAGAATGTTGAAATATGATCTTGTAATTCATATTACAAGACACCACAAGACCTTACAAGAGCATATGAAATCTGACAAGATTTCATGAGAATGTTGGTTAAAGCCCTACTCAATGTACCTGAGAACAAGTACTTAGAAAAACACTTGGATAACTAATGTTCAGAGTACCTGTAGTTTTTTACAAGTAAGAAAGGTACTTAGCAAGTAAGTTAACAAGTATAAGTACTAGATAAGTACTTCATTAAGTATTTGGCAGGTAACCTCGTAAGTACGCGCGAAATATATGCAAGTATCGGCAGTTCGTCCAAGTACTTGGCACGCATTAACTCTAAAACTGCTTGACAAGTGCTGCACCAATTATACTTTAGAAAAAATGGACTAGAGGTATTCGTAGCAAAATTGGATAAAAAATCATCAGATCTTATGTAAGACGACTTTTAGGTGATTCTGATGTTTCACGCTATACCAGCTGGAAAACATACTTTGCATCCCTGTAGTATGGCGAGCCGCTCTATGTCTGATACTTATTGGATGCAGAGAACATGTACACGTGCTAGTTGCCATTTCCAAGTTTTTTATATCACTCTGACTGCTTTATCCCCATCCTCAAGTCCAGATTCGTTGTCATGAACGTTATTTAGTATTCGGCAAATGACATCATGTCTAAGGGTTTAAAAGCAGATATGAAACAAGCAGTATCTTCAAGTTAGCGCCTGCCTAGAACTATACAGAGCAGAACGAAAAGGCCTCGTCTACACTATAAAAGTTAAAGGAGCTTTAAGCAATTCTATTGGCTTAAACTAACTTTTAGCCAATAGAATTACTTAAAGCTCCTTTAACTTTTGTAGTCACAAGTCGACAATCTTGAGATCATTTCTGACGGAATCTTGATTTCAGTACTTTCTTCCTGAGAAAGCCATTTTTTTCAGATTTTCAGTCAGAATCTGATGGTGTGTAGTCATACGACCATGGCTCGTACAATCAAAAGCCAGTTGGGTACTCACCAATACACTTGAAATTAACAAAGAAACTCATTTTTGCGGGACTTTTTTTAGTACATATTATAGCTGGTATCAAAACTTTTTAGAATGTATATTCAGAGTTCTCTAGCCAGAAGCCGTTACTGAGATATCAGTGTTTTTCAAATAATCTCCTGATTCAGACCAGAATGGACTGATCTTGATTTCTTACCAAGAATCAGTGACCATGAATCTTGAAAAATTTTTCAGATCAGGTCATTCTAATCTGAATCTTATTATTGATTGTATAGGACCAGAATCTGATAAGATTGACCTGAAATCAAGATTCTGTCAGAAATTATCTCAAGATTGTCGACTTGTGTCCACGTACTATTGTTTTTTATTTGTAGTTTGGTCTGAGTCATTGTATTATACGGCTGTGACTTTTGATGAGCCTCCAGAGATGCGGATATATACACATTTGCACGGACGTCCGTCGGTATTTTTGAGTTAAAAAAAGAAACAACTACCAATAAGACGATGATGATAAACTTTTACTGTGACAATAAGACAATGACATACTCGGGATACCAAAAATAACATTTAAACTGTGACGTCGCTTTTCTATTGGCTGGATCAAACTTGGAGGATGTCAGACGTTTTCCCTGTATAAAAGTGTGGCGTTACTACACTTTTAGTGTTATGATAACACACTTTCTAAGGCTGATGCCTGGTAGGAAAGCGTGGCATTGCTACACTTTTAGTGTTATGAATGGTATTGTTATGATCGATGGGGAGGTGATCGATCGTAAACTTTAACAGCGTAGGAAACACAATGACTTGTCCAGTATCTCCGAACTCCTATTTAATTTCGAGCTTAACTTGTTCCTCAATGTGTCTTCCTTTTTTTAAAACGTTCTAGACGATATCGTCGCTGGTGCACTGAAACCACGGGTTTGCCAGAGCTTAAAAGTAGAGAAAATTGATCTAAGATACAGTTGCTCTAGCTGGGTTTCCAATCTCCTTTGTACACTTAACGTGGAATCAATCAGGATCGCATCCCTAGCCATCAGTATATTTTTCGGTATGGTAGACTTGTACGCATTCATTAATTTCTAGATTGACAGCGTAAGTATAACATCCAAAAATGGATCGATGTTAGTCTCTTATCGAGCAACTGAAAAGATAGAATTGAATTACACAGAAAAATGAATGAAAATAAAAGTTTTTTTTTTCCTTTTTACTAAATGACGCCGGACAAAAAAATATTTGAAAAGTTTCTAAGTTTTTGACACTTGTTTCTTCCACTTTTGGACCTTATGACACTGATTCCAAATCAGTTTGAAATAAACGAGCAATCAATGGTCAATCTTCAGTGTCTACAATACATTCGTGTTTTCAGAACTTTTCTACAGCGTGTAGCTCATTGGATCATTGCATTCATATTTCGCAGAAAAAACTGATCGTACAGGAAATAAAAAACAAAATTCCCTACGAAAGCTCATAATGTCTGTCGACATAAAAACACAAATAAAATGTAAATAACATAACATTAGATTAACCAGCAACAAGCAGCGATGAATCATAATAAAACAAAGAAGCTTTCCAACGATTAAGTTAAAAGTATGACACTACCACGCCAAAAGTGTAGAAATGTCATGCTGAAGATCATGCCAAGATAAAAGTGTGGCAGCGTCGTGGATAAAGTGTAACATTGTTGACAAGGTAAAAGTGTACTGATGTCACGTTTTATTTTGTGTCATACTACATGTGTAACAATATCATGCTAAAAGTGTGACAATGTTACGGTAAAACCATGATACTCGGCTTTTACCGTAACATTTCGGGACAGTGTGCAGAAAATATTCTTATATCAACTTCTTTAGAAACCTTCTCTTTGAGGGAAGTTTCTCACTCTTATGGGTGGTCGATTCTGCACTTCTGTGAGCCTCACGCTTCGCGAATAAAGTAGTCTTAGTCTTATGAATACTCCACGAAATTCTTTTCTTCCTAACGATGAAGGCACCGGGAAGGTTAACGATTCAAGTGTTATTTTTTCTTTGTTCACTAATTATTCAGATTTACAGTAAATATTTGAGCATAACGCGTGTTTCGGTTCTAGTTTGAGAAAACAACAGATTTTTAATTGTTTTTTTTTCGAAAAGGGCCTAGTTTGTATAAAACCTAAATCGGCCTACATTTTATTACTCCAATGTCTCCAAAACTCATCAAAAGCGTCTTATTTGAGGATGCCGACCCTTGGGAGCGCTTCTGTATTCGATAAAATCTACTCGAAAAGAAACACTGTCAGCATGATCGTAAAACGAAATTTTCTTTCTAACTATCCAGTATTTAACTTAACCTAGTGTGATATGCTGTTCGATGCAGCTTGAAGAAATCTAAAACATATGCTAATAGAAAACTTAACGGAGCCTGACAGACGCCTTTATAAGCGAAATACCGTATTAGTTATGCGTTAAATCATTATCATGTTCTTTAAAAATAGTATGCCATCGGATGTGCCTTGAACAGTTCTGGCTAACACAAGTAAAGTTGAAGGTTAAAAGGTCGAGCTTTCTCTACTTGTATAGAAGGCAAAAGCAACATTAGCCCAAAATCATATCATGTTGTTTAATCGAGCTTGTTATCGCTTAGCTACAACTTCGATCGATGAGTCAAGCATACAGATCGATATAAGTTTTCGCACTTTATCGAAAAGTATTACCGACCCAGGTCAAAGAATCGGGCTGTAAGATCTTATAAGATTCTTGTACGATTTCGTCTGATTTCATAAGATTCGTATAAGAATTTGTAAGGTTCTGTAAGAAACATAGAAACTGATTCTTGATGTAAGATCTTATAGTAAGATTTCGTAAGATTATTGTATGATTTTTATAAGATAAATCCGTTTCTATGCTTTTCCGTAAGATTTTATAAGATCGAGTAAGATCTTGATCCGATTTTTTTACCTGGAGAGTCTCAGAGGAGAATATGTACATATCACGCAGAGCTGGACAACTCAATTAAAAAAACGACCAACTCAATTCGTAAATGGAATGGAATTGAATCGAAATTTTTTTCAAAAATCATTGAATCGAGTTGAATTGAATGGAAAACTTTTACTAGGATGACTGAATTGAATTGAATTCATTCAATTGGAAAAAAATCAAGAAATTCTTGTTGCAAGATCAATATACTAATAAAATCAAAAAAGGTTGAGTTATACCTATAATTTATTTTATAAGTTTTCTTTAGTTCTTTTCTTTGAGGTATTTAAACCACACTGGCGTTTCTGTATATATGTCTATCACCTGCTTAGTCATATCGCTATTTTCTTCCTTTATCTCCTTAGTACATATATATATATATATATATATATATTATACATTCATATAACCGGAAAAAAAATAACGTTGATTTAGAGTTGCTGAAAAGTGGTTTTTCGTATTCAGCACACTCGATAACCCAGAAGATTTTCTGTTTTTGGCCCGGGGTACTTCCGAAAGTTTAGGAAAAGTTTTCAAATTAATATTATTTTTCCACGGAAAACTTTTTGCGCCATTTTGTTTCAAAATTTTTCTTAAACTTTCGGAAGTACTAAGTACTGCGAGCCAAAAATAGAAAATCTTCTGGGTTATCGAGTGTGCTGAATACGAAAAATCACTTTTCAGCAACTCTAAACCAACTTTATTTTTTTTTGTTCCGGTGATATGTTATCTATCTCCACCCTCGATGTACTGAAATGATATTTTTTAAATGATATTTAGTATAATGTGTTTGTCTTTTCTTAACAATATTTGATCTAACTATACGTTCTATTTAGGTCATAGCTTCTGTTGTATAAATAGAATCGAATCTAAAACAATTCTCAGGCTAGATGAATTGAGTTGAATTGAATCAAAAATTTTTTCAAATGAATCGAATCGAATTAATTCCCCTTTTTAGCTGAGTTGCCCAGCTCTGATATCACGTATAATGGAAAAATAAGAAGAAATAGCGTCAGATTAACCAGTATTTACCATAGATAAAACTTTTCATGTCAGGATGAATAATGTTCATTATCTACGTGAAAAATGGAGTAGAATGAGTTATTACTTGATATTTTTTCAGAACTTCTAAAAAAACCAGTTGAAGGATCTTGGAGAAAATATCAAGGGTTATTTTTGAAAAAATGTGTTCTAGTTGTATCGGATGACGCAGATAAAATCGAACACTTTTGTTCGTTGTTTTTGAGACACTATCCTGTAGTCCACAGAGTTTGTTCTAAGGTCAATCGATAGAGAATTGAATTCTCTACAAAACCTACTATTTGCATCTTTGATAGCATTTTTCTCGTTTGAGCACCATTCAAAATATTGAAGGGTGCTGAGTTGCCTAACTGCGACACACTGAAAATAGAAAAATATTTACCTTGATTAAAAAACAGACTCCATAAGAATTTTGAAAATATTAGAAGATTCACTGGAAAATTCTGCATATTCTTACATATTTTTCGAAATTTGCAGTTAAATCTCCGAAGAAAATATTTCTGTACAAAAATTGACAAATCTAAAAAAACCTAACTTTTGAATCTATTTTTCGCAGACTTTAGTTATTTTACTGTAAAAGCAATAGAACGTTCTGAATCCGGGGTTTAGTCTTATTATCTTACACAGAATTAAATTCTGCATCTTTTGATATATAAACAAATTTTTCTCAATTGAAACCATTAATTAAAAAAATTGATTTAATTTGAAAAAATTGAAAAGCCGGTTGAGAATTATTTATAAGTCCAGCTGGCGTAGCAGAAACATTGTATGAAGTTGTAAACGAGTGAGATCGATAGAGCACAAAATTCTTTATGTACGTAGAAAAATTAACTATTGAACCTCAGATAATGGGCTAAAAACCTCAAGAAGAAAAGGAGACGACAAAAGTTCGTCGCAATTCGGCAACTCAACACCCGTCAATATTTTGAATAGTGCTCAAACGAGAAAAATGCTATCAAAGATGCAAATAGTAGGTTTTGTAGAGAATTCAATTCTCTATCGATTGACCTTAGAACAAACTCTTTGGACTACAGGACAGTGTCTCAAAAACAACGAACAAAAGTGTTCGATTTTATCTGCGCCATCCGATTGATATCAAACTGAAGAGCTATACTTGATCAAAACTGAGCATATATAACAAAACATCTGCAGCAACGTATAAAAAGAAACAGATAACCGTAAAAAATAGTCATATTTGGAAATAAAAATGAATCTTGTTGATATATTAGTACAATTATTATTGAATTCTACAAAAGTTGTTCGCAGAACATGACATTTGGATTATTAAGATTCAGTAACACATAAGGCTGGTTTTTATTCACCTTGATCATAATCTTTATATTTGTTTGTAAAATCTCACTTAGTTTGTTTCCAAAAATGATCTTGCTGATGTATAGGTTGCACATATTGTATATTTGAATTGTAGCTTTTTACTAATCAAACTAACTCGATATAATTAATTATTTGAATCGATCCATAATAAATATACAGCTGTTATTATGAGTTAGATATCGAATGTGTACGTCGCAGAAATTCTTTACGTGGTTGATGGATAGTTGATGGATAGTTAGATTTAGAATCTTTAACATTACAACCCGTATTCCATTGAGTATCCAATGCCAGACCAACAAATTCATAGACATCATTTTCTGAATCAGTTGCCATAACATTTGGAAATTCCAGTGCTGGTTGAATTTCTTCTTTTTTTGTTGTATAAATCAATACGGGTACATGTGGAGTATCTGAGCGGACAGCACGTATTACATCAACAGCTGTTTGTGGTTCTTGTTCTCCAATCATATTGTTCTCCAAACGCCAAACGGTGATAACTTTAAATACGACATCTTGTCTAAGTAGTGAGGTTTTTTTTCCATTTGACCAAGCTTTTGCTTCATCAATTGTTTTTACAATGTGTAATTCGTGTTGAATTGTTGAAAATTGTTTTGATCCTTGTATCGTTTCAATTATATGTTTATGGTTCATATCATTTCCAAATCCTGTTATCCATAAAGTGACCAAACGTGGCTTAATTAATATACTTGGTGTACGTCTAATATGTTTGGTTATTGATGGAACAGGAAGAAATTGCTGTTGATTCAAGGGAAAAGTATCTTCAACAAGTACTTCAACTCCGGCCATTTCTCGTGTTGGCCAGGGATTTGCTAATGAAAGTTGAGCGACAGCATTCGACGAAATTCTGTTTGCGGCTAATTGTAATTCATCATCAAGAACTTGACGATTTTTATGCGGCCATTCAGGACGTTCTTCTAATCGTTGACGTGTTTCTTTTAATTTTTTCATGAGTTTATTTGTATAGCGAACGTAACAGTAACTTAAATGTCCATATTTATAAGCTTCTTCAATAGAATCATCGATAGGATTTACTAATACACGCAAAGATCGTCCTTGCTGCTCCCGTGCTCTTAAGCGTGCCATGAAACCTTCATAGTCTAGAAAATCTAAGAAGCGTAACGGGGTTCGAACTTCAATTTGTTCCTTGGTTTTCGATGTACAACTACGCAATATGTTACGTGCCAAAGACATGGCTGCTTTCATACCCGAGTTCATTCCTCTAAAGAAAAGACGTTCCACCAAGAAGTTAAAAAGCTTTTGCTGTTCAGCAGAGATGCTTTACCGTCCAGGCCAAAAATGGACATTCATGGCTGCATCACCAGCTAAGAAAGCTAACGCTGTTTTCCAAGTCTTATTTTCTTGTTGAAACCTTAATTCTCGAATAACAATTGACGAATGTCTTACATTAATTTGGATAGGAGCAACACGTACGACATATTTTGAGTGAATTTTAAAAAAGTCAAGACCTTGCCGAACAATAGACCATACTGGTGAGTTTGGACATTTAGAATAATCAAGTAAATCCAATGATTCATTTTTTGTCTGGAATACTTGTAAACACTCGGTTAATTCATCATATTCACTTTGAATCAGTCTGATATTTAAATAGCCCCGACGACTTGTGGACGAATTAACAAGGTAACGGGTTTGACTTATGGTCAAAATGCAGTTGAGTGCTTGATGTAATGGTGCATCACATTCAGCAACTTGATCAGGAATATCGTATGCAACTCCACAAGCATATTCTAATCCCTCAGATATCATTGTAATGTTGCAATACCGTCGAACAAAAGAATTTGCGCCATCAGCCCCAATAAGTACATCAAAGCTACCTAAAACATGGAAATTAGCAAAACTTCTAAGTCATAAATCAATGATATATACTGACCTTTGACCAAACATTCACTCTGTTCATGAAGATTTTCTGGTATTAGTTCTACTTGTTCAACTTTGACAAATGGTTGTATTAGAGCAAATAATCGATCTTCTACTTCACGAATGGGTATATTTCGAGATGTTTGCCAAACACATTCATTTATATTTTCAAATAGACCTTTTTGTACATACATTGGCATTTGGTTAATTACATGATCCTGAAGTGTAACGACTTGATCTCGACGGATCTTTCCTTGCTGAACTCCTTGCCAACCTAATACCCCCTCTTCATTGACAAACCATCGCCCTTCGTATATCGATATTTTTGCATGTTTGCCCATCATCATTGTCAAATTAAGCGCAAAGGTGAGACCTACAGGCCCACCTCCGGCAACCACCACTCTCAATGGGCTGTATGTTGCTTGTTCTTGTTTGTTTGATGCCATGACAGTTTGAAAGATTTTCTATGGAATAGTTTGAATGATGTGTACACACGTAAATAATTATTCGATAACAGTTATCTTTTGTTTTATAACCACCCGATGTTGCACATTCTGAAAAACGGCGTCACAGTGTGCGACACATTAGTCCGCGGTAACGCATTTACCTTGGAGATGGTTTTTTATCTACCAGAGTTACTTTTCCCCCAAAACAAAAATTCTCACAAACAGTTTATATAAACAGCATTAGTACTTTCGCTATTTCTCATACGAAAAAGATTTTTTCCTCCTAATATAATACAGGGAATCAGTTCAGAAAGAAAAGTTCCAAAAACGGCTTCAAACGCAATTTATAGACTCGAATAGACGGTATCTTATATTTCGTTTTTAGATGCAATCAAATATAAATTTAAAATTAGTGAAAATAGTTTTGATGTCTATTATACACGGTGTAACATAACCTTTTTCTCCCCCCATACACGACCTAAAAGACACATAAAATAAAAAACGATTTATACCAAATTGAAGCCCGTCAAAAACTGCATCTACCAGTGCAATTAGATTGAATAC